GCTGAGTCTAGGCTTAGCTGTGCAGTGCTGCCTCTTTGAAACGTGGAGGCAGCATTTCAAAGTGGTGCTGTGGAGCCTGGGGTCAGCTGGGGACTCCCCAGCTGATCCTGGTCTCTGCGGCATTTCCGTGGAACCTGGGATTAGCTGGAGAATCACCAAGTAACCCCGAGTTCTGGGAAAATATTGCATAGAACCTGGGGTCAGCTGGAGAGTCTGACCCAGGCTGATCCAGCCAGCTGACCCAGGCTCCACGCAGCATTTCAAATCAGTAGTGCAGCATGAAGCCCGGGATCAGCAAGGGACTCTGAGTCCCCTGCTGATCCCGGGCTCCATGCTGCACTGTGGCTTTGAAATACACAAGAGCTCCCGGTGGCCCTGGGCTCCACACAGAGTTCTGCATTCCTCCTTTGAAATGTACAAGAGCCCCAGAGGGAAATGCCTATCGACTAGTCAACTAGTTAATTAACCGATATTTAAAATGCTTGTTATGAGCACCACTGCTGCCTTGGGCTGGAATTGTGGCCACAGCTCCATTCTATCTCCTATGTGTGTGTATATATGGGGGAGAGGCATAAATCACTGGAACCTCCTAAATGTTGCCCCTAAAATCCACATATTGACCCTCCCTCCCTGTTCCCTCTCTAGGACTGGCACAGAGCTCTTCTTAATGGCATGCAGGAGGTGCAGATCTCTCTGCCCTCTTATAGCCACTCTGTCCACAGAAAGGCTATGGGGAGCTGAAGTTGTCCTTGTGTGAATCCCTTTACACCTGGGAGAACACCATCTTATTTCTGTCTTGAATTTATTACGCTCAAACTTTTATATTGTTAAATAATAAAACAACATGTGGTGAATGACTTAGGAGCCTAAATTACATTTTCAATAGATATTTAAACACTTAGCATTCATCAGGTTTTTAGTAGTGCTGGTGGAAGGGGAGTAAGGCATTTCTTCAGGTGTTTAAGTGTCTAACACTCAAAGGCATTCAAGTGATCAACTTCTGTGGGAGTTTGGTGCCTAAATATCTTTAAAAATCCAGTTATCAGGAGCTTTTTTCTCACAAAGTCAATGAGATTTAGGTATCAAGCTGCACAGATCATGTTTGAAAATGAGATTCTCGTACTTAAGTAATTTAGGTGCTTTTAAAATCTTTACCTTCATCTTTCAACTGTACAAGCCAATTAGATGTAAACATCATAGTTTGTCAGGAATGCTGTACCTTCCTCCCTCACCACCACTGGTAAAAACTTGAAGAAATTCCTATTTCTAGTATTTACTAATATATCTAGTTATCTGTATCAGGTTGTAATGGGTAACAACAGTTCCCTTAATATAATGATCTTTCTAGAGAAATGTTTGTCTGCTGAATATTTTTATATTACATTGAACATCTTTTTTGTGAGACCAAGCAAAAACCAAGAACTGTACAGCAAAAATTACTGGTATTTTTAAAAGGACTTAGGTTTTATCTTCGTGGCATTGGGCCTTATTCTTTAATTATCTGATTAATTAAAAAGCTGGTGTTTAGAAGATTGGGTTTAAAATGTGACAATATGTTACCAACAAAAAAACCTAAATAGCCTTCCTCATTACAAGCATATAATGTCAAGATTGATATTTCTCATGAGCACTGTGAAAATAATGACATTTATTTTAAAGCAGTGAAAAAGGGACGTCATGAACCCCAGAGTGACTAGGAGGAATATGGGCTGACCCAGGCATGTCTATGCCTTGAAAATAACCTTAAGGAAAGGTTGTTGGAAAAGGCACTTCTGGTGTGATAATCTAACAAACATCAAACAGATATTTGAGAGTCAAAGCAGCTACACTCATCAGAATCTAGATGTGGGGGCAGGTGAAGGGGAAATTGAGACTAGGGATGTTAAATATCGGTTAATTGAATAGTCGAGTAACCTAATGAACTCTTATCGGTTAGTTAACTATTCTATAGTCCCTGGGGGTGGGGCCAGCAGCCAGTGTTCTCCAGACTCACTCCCAAGGAGCCCCGTGCTACTCTGTGATGCTGCCTCTGTATCAGAGGCAGCCGCACGGGGGGCCAGGCGGGAGCTGGTCTGCAAGGGGAGCCAGTTTAAAGAACAGCTCCCCTCGCGGACTGGCTACCTGTTGCCCTGTGCTGCTGTCTCTGATAAACAGGCAGCAGGGCGGGGGGGTAGGAACCCCCATCTGGGGCGGGGGGGGGCTGCGCAACCCCTATCTGGGGCGGGGAGGGTCTGAGCTCCTGGACTTGACGCAAAATGGAACTCAGTTGGGCTGCCTGCTCACCCGGCTCCTAATACACTATAAATGCAGAGACACAGCAGAGTTAGGTCCCAGATTCAAGGAGTGAGCTGGGCTGCTGGTCAGCCTGCTAAAATATTTAGTGGCGAGGGGGGGGGGGGGGGGAAATGCATGTAGTTTATAGAATTAACCTATAAGCTTTTGCTTATCAGTTAATCAGTTAATTGATTACACTATTACAGCCCTAATTGAGACAGGATTTCAATCTATGCTGATGGATGGTATCAACATTAGCTTAAGTACTGAGTGATGATGGGTACTTTGAGCCTTAGAGTTACATGGGACTTTCAACGAGATACTCTGTCAAGGTTTCTTCCTCACTCTGGCACCAATAACTGTGGAAGTGGGGGCCCGCAAAAGGACCCCAAAACCTTATCTTTCCAGGCTTTGGAATAAAACTTCCCCCTAAAATCTTAAAACCTAGATTTTGGGGATAAAAAATCCGCTGCCACCACCCAAGTAATAATAAAGAAACCAGGGAGAGGCCACTTAGGAAATCTCAGCCCTAAAAGTAAAACCAGGACACAAAAATTAACCAATACCAAGTTAGTAAAAAGAAAAGAGAAAGAACTTTTATCCTCACCACAATATTCCTGTTGCAAGCATAATGACTAGATGGAAAAGTCACCAATTAATATACTCGTGAGGGGATTTCACCATGGGCCAAAACTTAGTTACAAAGTAGAGGAAAACCCATTTTTAAATGCACAGACATTAGATTCCCATTCCCAAACCATAAAACAATAAAACCTAATGGATTTATCTAAACTTTACCCTACTTACAGATAGTGAAGAGTCTTTTCCTGGAGAGAGAGACATGTCTTCCCCCTCAGTAGCTGGAGAGAAACTGCCCGACAAAAGGAGAGGGGAAAAAACCCAAATTCCTTTGTCCCAGTTTGAAAGTCCCACCTACATTCCTACTGGTCACTCCACCTGGCTAGGTGTAGTTAACTCCTTAATCCCCAGGCTGCTGGCTAACCATCATAATCATGACAGAGGAGATGGTCATTTGAACATTTTCATAGAAGTTTAATTTATCTAATTTTATTCTAATGGCAATAAGATGAAACTGCCAAACTGAAATTTCAGATGTGACACACAAACCCAATCTCAAAAAAAAAAAAAAAAAAACCCTCGGAAACACAGACTATGAACTGAGTATTTTAATACTACCTACTTTCCCATTTCCAGAATTTTAAATGTTTAAGTTAAGTGCCATTCCTTGTTATATAGAAATTATTTTTAAATTAAGATTTTGCTAAAAATTATACATTTACTTAATCTGTTATCCTAAGCTTCTTTTGAAGGTACTGATCCATTGGGGGAAAAAAAATCACTGACAGAAGACTGCTACAGACTGGAGTGCACAGACAGTAGAAAAGTTAATAGCATTACTCCAAGTGTCCTTGCAAATTGTCTCCGTGCAAGACAGGTGACTTCACAGAAGAAACTAAAAATGTAATGAACAAGGTTGCCAGATACTTTCACAAAAATAGTGAACATGGTGGGGAAAAAATTGGTTGAGCAAACAACAAAAATGCATGTCTGGTATTTTCTGTTGTTTTTAAACAGACACCTGGCAACCCTAGTAACGAATTCGCTCTGAGCACCCAAAAAGCATTCAAGGCCTAAGCAAAGCCACTCCCTGCCCTGAATAATTTAGAACCTAAATTCAGATATGGAACTCCATGAAAACTATAATAAATAAAATAGGATAGGAATAAGGGTTACAGGAATGAGTTTGGGTGGTTAAATTGTGAAGCATCTAAACATCTCGATAAAGATGTTAAGAGTAAAAGCATCAAAGCAGAGATGAGAGTAGAACCCACACAACCAACTATTCATTTCAATATTGCTCTGAAACTGCAAAGGCCACCAAGTCGGTCGGGAAGGGACCTCAGGTAGCGCGCCCAAAGAGGAGGCTAGAAGGGAGCTCATAGGGAGAAAGCAGCGCAGGCAGACTCCTCCGGAGTGCGTTCATAGTGGGGAAGGGAAAGGGGGAAATGAGGGACCCCACCCCGGGAAGCCGCTGCAAGTGGAGAGGGGCAACGGCGTGATAGGCGGGCTCCGGTTAACTCGGGAGAGGGTGATCAATCCTGAAAACAAACAGTCGGGCTGGCAGGGAGAAAGGACGCGCCAGGCTCCACCAGACAAGGAGGCAGGCAGTGTCTGCTGACCAGGACTGAGGCGGTGGACCACGGCAAGAGAGAGGAACATCGGGACTGCCTAGCAGTTCTAGAGGCAGACGACTGCGGGGAGCAGGGCCCCCGCCCTCCGGGCG